CGTGGCGGCAGTCCTGGATGCGCCGCCCTACAGCACTTTACGCCACTGTCCTATTTCCAGCCTTGCTGCCCCTGGAATTAAATGCACTTTCCCTCGAATCGCTCTCACCGTAGCAGTTCTTTTTCTCTGCTCCTATGGCAGCTCGACTCCTTTCCTCACCACTAATGCATAAAGAGAACTGTTGCTGTGTAATGTGTGACAAAAAAAATGGATGAGGAGAGACTCGCTGTTTAGGGGAATAAATATCCCAAACTAAATGACCAACAATCCCGTCATTAAAAAGGCAATGACCAAAAAGATATTGCCTGGTGAGCCATAGCTCTGGAGATCGGCTCTTCAGGTGAGAAATCAAGTTTAATTAGGGGCTCGCCACTTATGACTTTTAGCTAATGCAGAGGTGGAGGAAGTACAGATCTTTCAGTAAAAGCAGTAATAACTTAGCAGCTGTATCGCCGGTGTGTTCTCAGCTTTAGGAGGCAGCTACGGTGACATTACATCATGTTTCAAAAACCATGAAAATAATAGCAGCATAACAAACAAGGAAATAACAGTTGCGGGGATATTTAAAAGTAATGGACTGCTTTTTTGAAAATGGGATGTTACTACTCCACTGCTTGATTGGTCGTTACTACAAAAACTAAGCTCAGTAAGTTTGTAACTTGCCACAAGTTGGTTTGTTTATAGTAGATAGTTAGCCCTCTAAAATGGTTGTCATGGCAACAACACACACATTTGAGTTTCTCAGGACAGTCAAGGAATGACCCACCCTACTCTTTACCTCTGAATGGCTTACCCTGACATTCTTACCCTAACCAGTCTCACTCCTCTACCCAGGCAACAACAGCAACAAGTGCTAGCAAATCACAGGGAGAGTTGAGCAAAAACTTGCCAGCAGTACACATAAAAATTTTGGCCATGTAGTGTAAAGTAAAAAAAAAAATGTAAAGGCCTCACATTTGTCTTGTGCAAAAACAGGTTTTCATTGCACTTACAACCAATTACTTAAAATTCCAACTTTTGTTTACATTCATCAGCGTACTGCCGATATACAGAAAGCGACATTATTTACATTTCAGCTAAATTGCTTGTGTGTAGCAATCATGGTTTTTGGCGCCATCCATGACTTGGATTAATCGTCTGGCTTCACACAGTGGTGGGCTGAGCATCATCATAGTAAATCTTAATTAAGATCCCTGTATTTGCTTCCTGCTCTATCTCAATCTCATTCTTCCTCTCCACTGACTCATGACATTCTCTGTTCCTCCTTATGAATACATTAGGGACAGGAGTGCAACTGGCAGCAGCCGTGTTAGCTGTATGACACATCACAGCAGCTGTGGAGGAAGTATTCACATCCTTGACTTAAGGAGCAATCAGGGCTGTAGTGCTGGAGTCCAGTCTCGAGACCACTTTTTTGAAATCTTGCACTTGTCCTGGTCTCTTGCTGCTGATTTGGGGTTAGTTGTACCATGTTGGCTGATTCTTCCAACAAGATGTGCAAAACAAAAACCTCCCTCCACTACTTTCTCTTTGGCATTGAATCAATTTTGCAAGCAACGCTGGCTCTGAGCTCAACAACTGCTGCCTGCTGCAGTCTGCTAACATTAACATCACTTACAGCAAGTCACGGGCTACCTCAGCAAACATTAGAAGGCAAAATGGGCGTAGCGTGAGTTATTACACTGTTTGGCACCACAAAAATTAGCTTCAAAGCCTGACGCACTTCCTGGATGCCTGGTGGAAACATGGCACCCACTGCCCACCCTCCGGTCTCCACTGGTTAGCCTTGTTAGTTAGCCTTAACCACTCTGCATTGCAAACCACCTGGGTCAGGTGGGAGCTAGCTAGCTGCGTCACTCATTCTGTGAATACCACTGGTAAAACTGTCCCTGTGATGGGACAGCGTTGCTGCAGAAACATAGTGGCCACCCTGTGTTAGCACCATTAGCAGTGCTGACACTGCTGGCAGTGCTAACAGAGCTAACACAACAATGCTAAAGGGAGTTTTGGGTTCAAAACTGGGCCATTTACTTGCTAGGTAGACCTGAGGGGAGACCGCAAAGGTGGGCACAATGTCTCCACAGCAACACTGTTTGGTCAGGAAGGCGTTGCTAGCGGTAATCACTGAACAAGCAGCACTGCTAGCTTGCTCTCACCAGGCCCAGACAACACACCATGCAGAAAACTGAAGAGTAGTTAAATTAATCTATAGAGCAAGATGTGTCATCTCTCAAAAATATTCTCTGCAGATAACTGATTAATGGTTTACACTAACATCCTTACCCATGGCCTTTGAATTTCTGAAATTCTGGCTATGGCACTGATACTACTGACTTTTGATTATCATAGGATGCTTTAGATATAATACTTTATTATCCTGCTTAGACAAATACTGCGACACTGCTACTTATATGTGCCACTCAACGGTATTTCAGCTCAATAAAAGGACACGCTGTCCTTGCATTCTGTGTATCAGCATATATAACAACATACCCCTGCACTATGTCACCTTAAGACGCCCATGCCTTGACCTCATTCTAAGGAGAGTGCACTCTCTGTGGACTGGTGCAGATTAGAAGCTGGGACAGACTGGGGCTGACTGGGATGGGCTCGTCTGCTTCTGCTCGAGCCTGCTTCTGCTGCAGTGCCATTTGAAAACACTCCAACCCTTCTGCAGTGCGCTGGAGCCCAGAACTGATGTTGAATGACTCCCCTGTTTTTGCCCAACCCACACATCCCTCACTCCGCCGTGTACATCACACCACCACTGCCCTCGTAGGGCATCCAAAAGCACCTCCAGGTCCTGAGTGAACGGCCCAACAATGAAATATATGTGTCGAAAAAACCCTGCCGCCAGCAGGAAGGCCTGAGCGGAGAAAGTATCCAGAGCAGTGGTCAAGGGCACTGTTAACATCAGCATGCGAAGAGACTCTGGGTGTGGCTGCTGGGAGCATAAGCATTTACAATACATATTAGTGCTTAAAATAGACAGACACGCACACACAGGAGAAAGCCATTGTGATCGTCTCTTCATCCCTCTCTGTCTCGCTCTCTTTCTATTTCTCTCTCTCTCTGCCTTTCTGTCTCTGGAGCAATCTAAAATTGGCCATGCTTGATGCATTAGATCTGCTTGACTAAAGCTTGCAGTGGAAAGCCAATGAGGGAAACAAGAAAATGTAGACAGGTGATTAATGGTGAAAGTCTAATTCAGTGTTGAGAAGCAGAATAAGTTCTCTACTTGCAGGAGTTTTAAAGGTGATACCTTATATATGCCTGATTTACTTCTGTCAGGAAATTACCCCAGAGTGCAAGAATTGCCACTTAACTAGTGACATCCAACACGTGTACAAGTTTATGTCTCGATCCATCGCTGTTTGTACTTGCAGGACTTTCAGTGCGGCTGCACTTGTGGAGGAGTGCTGTGAGAATTCTGACAGAATTAAACACAATAAGTAATGGATCCCCTAAAAGCACTAATGCAGCTGTTTTTGCTGCATTACTTCCAACAATTGGTAATCGTTCCCGCATCGACCGGAGTGACCTGAGATTAGAGCGAAGCATCAAGATTGATGGAAGTTCAATAGCCTGTCAGTGGGGCCGAGCCACCAGACGGGCAGCCCCGCACTGACACTTCACTAATCGCGGGGGAAAGGCCTCAGCAAATGGACGGAAAAGCCACACAGCCCACATGGCTTTGCACCTACAGTAGTGGGGATCCTACAAATAGCTTTAGAAACACTCCTCCTAGAAGGGAAAGTGTACATGATGTGCTTCTGTGTGGTGTACAAATATTAACACTATACAGTAAAGCTGTGCAGTTATTTGAGTTAGCTATAGTGGCTCAGTGAGAGAGGCTCATTGGAAGATATGTAAAGCTTAGTTATGAAGTGAGTTACTTGACATGGAAGAAAGTACATTGACAAGGCAAATATTTATTCAGGTTTTGGTCAAATTTTTATTTGTATTACTTTGTACATCTGGGTTTTGTGAGACTTTTTCTAATAACAAAAAAGATCAGTATCAGTTTGTTTAGAGAATCTGTTTGGCAAGGACAAAGGGCATAAGAAGATCACTGAACAGGCCTACAAGGCACAGGCCCAGGGGCCCAAAGTGTAAGGGGGGCCCCCTTGCTCTCGCATGCAAAATGTCACTGAAATTAACATAAACTGGGAAGAGATTAAAATGAAGACAAAGAGATGCAAAGGAACTGCAGAGAGACACAAAATAACCACAAAAAGGGGCAAAACAATGACCAAAAAGACATTAACTCACCTCAAAGAGACACACAGCAACCACAAAATGATGACTACAACGAGATGCAAAACACAACACAAAAAAGTGTGTGTCTTACTTCTATATAGGAGTGGTGGGGGGGTATTTTGCATATCTGCACCCTTGAGCCCACTGCCTGATAATCCACCCCTGACAAAGGGCAGTGGGCTGATGATACATGGACTAGAACAAAACTGCATATTTTCACAGTGATAAAAACTGAATATAATATTGAGAATTATGCTGCACATACAAAGCAGATCTGTCCAATGTGCTGTCCAAATGATAGAGAAAATAAGTTTAACTTTGTTTGCTACTGTCCTTTTAATTGTGAGTGATATTTTCTCTAGTAAGATAAAAATAGATGTTGTAAATATGGAAAATGCAAACAAAACTGAGTCAGCTATTCACATATGAAACATCTAAATTAGGCTGATGTCTGGAGAAAGCCTGTGAGAAGAGAAAAAATGCACTTTATTGAGATAATAGGTAAATATTTGGTAGTTCCTTATATGAACAGCTCATTTGGGATATTGTTTTTGTTTTGTTTTTAGTTTGTGTGGCTTTACTTGTCCCTTTTTCACATTTTCTTAATGTAAGACCGAAAGACATATATAAAATAAAAGTGTCTTGTAATCCCATGTAAATCCAAAAGTTAAAAAACTACAATAACAACTACATTACTTGTTTAATGCTTCTGTTTATGAGATGTATGAACTACATGTTACCTGTTATATCTTCACATTTTGTAGTGTTTTGACAGGCTGCTGGATGAACATTTCACCTTTCATGCTTCACTGATGTTATCTAAAATGAAAAAAGACATTAAAATTAGTTTTGAGACATGAATGAATCGATTTAGGAAGCAATGAGTGGACCTGAGTTCTATTAAACATCTACTGAGGATCAACAAGTTTGAAAGCTAAAAATGCACAATGTCAATAAAACACATTTTTAAGAATAATTAACTGAAAGAAAAAAAACTGCTGGTGCTTCACTTTTGTCACTTTGAATGTTAAAAAGCACAAGTGGGAAAATATATCAACACATATTTCTATAATTCATAGAGTATTATGCCGACTCCTGCCACAACAATCACTCATGTAGTGGGACGTTTGGGAACAGGCGTGAATGAGCTGAGGATCACTTCATGTAAGAAGTTCAAGTGACAAGTCAAGCATGGCAAAGTCTTGACAGTCCTCAGACTCTGTGTCAGGAATATTCAGTGCAAGTACAGAAAAAATCGCTTGTTCAAGTTCACGCATTCATAGTTCACTTCAATAAGCTTTACAGAAGACTGCTGTCATGTCATCGCAGAGAGTTTTTCAGCCGAGGAAACAACACACTGTTGTTTGGCTGGTCGCTGTCCGTGGTGCTGAAATGACTGGAGCAGTAAAGCAAGGATTGTTTCATAACATCAGTGGGATTCATGACTTGATTTATGGATTCATGATGGTGAAGTTCTGATGAGATTACAGCTGATTTTTACTTTAAAGTGCTTGTTTTTTTTTTTGTTTTTGTTTTTTTTTGTTGTTTTTTTACAGATAAACTTATTAATATCTATGTGTATGTGTGTGTGTGTGTGTGTGTGTCTGTGTAAATCTGACACTCATGTATCGCTTGCAGCCCACGTGGTTGAGACTGAGCGGGACCCCGGACCATTAGCAGACGGCCTGAGGGGGATGCGCCCTCCCCTCCCTTCCATCAATGGACGAAACAAAACTGCTTGGACTTGCCTTGTTAGCGGCACAGCCTCTGATATATAAGGAGCAGACGGAGGAGCCCTCAGTCGCTGTGAGAGCCACACACACATAACATACATACACCCACATACACACTCGCCCACCGCCTTCACCTCCTGCACCGTCCCCCTTTCATTCCTGCGCACATCCCGGGCAGTCTGACCGGATGAGTTACCCGGTGGACACGGTAGGGAGCCCCTTCAGGAGAGTTATGGATACTAGGACGACCGGCTACGGCTACAGCCGCTCCAGTGGCACCCCCTCCAGCGGCTTTCGCTCCCAGTCCTGGTCCCGGGCAAGCCCCGGCTCCACCATGACCACGTCTTACAAGAGGAGCGTGAATTTGCCTGTGTCCCGAGCTTACGGCTCAACGGTGCTCAGCTCCGCCGACAGCGTTGATTATAGTCAAACCTCCATCCTGAACGGAGACTACAAGCGATCTAATGAGAAAGAGCAACTTCAAGGGCTCAATGACCGATTTGTTGTTTACATTGACAAGGTGCACTACCTGGAGCAGCAGAACAAGCAGATCGAGGCGGAGATCCAGGCACTGCGGCAGAAGCAGGTGTCTCGCACCCAGCTGGGCGACCTCTACGACCAGGAGCTGCAGGAGCTGCGCTCCATGCTGGAGCAGATCCACCACGAAAAGGCGCAGATCCAGCTCGACACCGACCACATCGAGGAGGACATCCAGCGGCTCAGGGACCGCTTTGACGAAGAGGCTCGCATCCGGGAGGAGACAGAGGCCATCATCCGCGTCCTGAAGAAGGACTCGAGCGAGTCGGAGTTGGTGAAGTCCGAGTTGGAGAAGAAAGTTCAGTCGCTGCAGGATGAGATCGCCTTCATCCGCAACAACCACGAGGAAGAGGTGAGCGACCTCATCGCCCAGATCCAGGCGTCTCAGGTGACCGTGGAGAGGAAAGACCTGCAGAAGGCAGACATCACCGAAGCTCTCCGGGAGATCCGCAGCGAGCTGGAGGGCCACTCCAACCAGAACCTGCAGCAGGTGGAGAACTGGTTCATGTGCCGCTACGCCAAGCTCACCGAGGCTGCGGAGCAGAACAAGGACGCCATCAAGTCCGCCCGTGATGAGATATCCGACTACCGCCGCCAGCTGCAGTCCAAGACGGTGGAGTTGGAGTCTGTCCGCGGGACAAGGGACTCGCTGGAGAGGCAGCTGAACGACATCGAGGACCGCCACAACAGCGACCTGTCCAGCCTGCAGGTAGGAGACAGCTCCGTGCAGCACCAGAGCCGTGCGTAAAGATAGCCAGAATAGAATTTTACATATTAAATAGCATATTATTTAATGTTTTAACAAATGTTTTGTGTATTTAAAAGTTAATAATGGGAGTCTGGGTTGCTGTCATGGTGACTGACAGGATGGATTAAGTTAATTTGCTTTTTATTTCACATTTATTTTATATCTTAATGACGCACTTTTTATTTGAGAGACTTAAAAAGCGCAAATTAACTTAATAACAGTAAATGGATTGTATTCTCTTTCCTATATCATGGTTAAGGACTTGTGTTGAAACATTTTTTGCTGCGTAACGACTGCCATGAGCGCATCATCACTGCGCTGACATTCCAAGTGTGAGGAAACAGTTAAAGGGAGACACTGCAGCAGTCTCCCTCTCTCTCTCTCCCTCTCTCTCTCTCTCTCTCTCTCCCTCTCCCTCTCCCTCTGTATTGCTGAGTCAGAGGCATGGGTCGATGCCTTCATTGGCTCTGTCCTTCATCACACCACTGAGATTTTTGGGGGGGTGGGGGTGAGGGTGGGGGGTGTATTGACAAGTGTGGAGGCTGTCCTTGAAAAAGAGGCATTCAACATCTCTAGAATACTGTATTGCGTCAGAATATATTAAAGCAGCAGCCTTCGGTGCACAGAGTGGAGTTTATACAAATGTGCAGAGAGAATAAAAAGATAGGAGTTTAAATTAAAAGTGAATTATAAAAGGGTTCTGGAAGTGAGTTTTGATAATCCCTGAACAGTGATATTCAAAGCAGCATGAATGGATCTGAAAAAGAGGATGTAGGTTCGTCCTGCAAGTCATTCTGTCGCAGTTAATCGACCTTGTGTTTCGTCTGCTCTGTTTTTCCTCAGGAGACAATTCACCAGCTGGATAATGAGCTCAAGAGCACTAAATGGGAGATGGCTCGTCACCTGCGCGAGTACCAGGACCTGCTTAATGTCAAGATGGCCTTGGACATTGAGATTGCTGCATACAGGTACATACTGACACGCATCTAACATTTGAAAAGTACTAGAAATAACATTTAACAAAATTTACGCCAAAAGTGATGACTGAATGCACAATGCATACATCTGTCGTCCCCAGGAAACTCCTTGAGGGTGAGGAGACCCACTTCAGCACTTTCCCCTACCGTCAGGCCGTCACCCCAACCAAAATCTCCAAGTCTAAATCAGACACTACCAAGCTTAAGGTGCACCACAAGTTTGTAGAGGAGATCATCGAGGAGACGAGGGTGGAGGATGACAAGTCTGACATTGACGAATCCCTGGCAGAGATAGCACAAGAGTTGTCTGCCACACTTGGAGGAAAGGAGGGAGAGGGCGAGGAGGGAACAGAGGGTGAAGGAGAAGAGGGAGAGGGCGAAGGTGAGGAGGAAGTTGTAGCCGCCACTGAAGCCAAAGTCAGCGCTAGCGCACCTGGTGAGGAGGAAGAAGAGGAGGAGGAAGAGGGAAAAGGTGGTGATGAGGAGGAAGAAGGGGAGGGAGAAGGTGGCGAGGAAGGAGAAAAGGAAGAGGAAGGTGAGGGACAAGGTGAAGATGAGGGTGAAAAGGGGGGTGATGCAGAGGGAGGTGATGAGGGAGAAGGAGAAGAGGGAGGAGAAGGGGAGGAGGAAGTTGAGGAGACAGTGCTGTGCTCCAAAGCTCCAGAGTCTAAAGCCTCTCCTGACAAAGAGAAGGCCGGAGACAAGGAAGGAAGCGGAGGAGAGGAGGAAGCTGGTGCTGAAGAAGAGGGTGGTGATCAGGATGAAGATGCAGGCAGTGACAAAGCATCCAAAAGCGGAGATGAGAAGGAGGAAAAAGAGGATGCAGACAAAGGCAAAAAGGAAGATGAGAAGATGGTAAAAGATGAGAAAGCGGACGACAAATCAGAAGAAGCTGTAGCCAAGACGGAAGCTCCCAAAACAGAAGCAGCAAAGTCCGAAGATAAGAAGGAAGAGGCTGCCAAGACTGAAGCATCAAAACCTGATTCTCCCAAATCTGAATCCCCAAAGCCTGGATCCCCCAAGTCTGAATCACCTAAACCTGGCTCTCCTAAATCTGAATCCCCCAAGCCTGCATCATCTCCCAAATCTGAGTCCCCCAAAGAAGGCTCACCAAAAGCTGGATCCCCCAAACCAAGCTCCCCTAAATCAGAATCCCCGAAACCTGAATCTCCAAAAGCTGAATCCCCAAAGACAGAGACCGCCAAGCCTGAGGCCCCTAAAGCTGCTGAAGACAAATCAGAGAAGAAGAGTCAATCAACAGATGACAAGAAGGTAGAAAAGAAGGACGTCGCCATGAATGGCGAATTAGACAAGAGCAGCCCAGAGGAGAAGGAGAAGAAGGACGAGGAGAAAGAAGTTGACGTGATCGCTAACGGCGTGGACGAGAGCCCCGTCAAGGAAGATGGCAGCCAGAAGGTGGTGATCACCAAAACCGTTGAGACGATTACCACCGGAGAGGACGGCTCCAAGCTCGTCACCAAATCCGTCACTGTGACCGAGACGGTGAAGGAAGACGTGGAGGAGGTGATGCAGGAGAAGGTCACGACCAAGAAGACGGAGAAGCACTCCACCCAGTCCATCAAGCAGGTCACCGAGGCCGAATGAGCGAACTCCGCGACCAGAGGAAAGGACACGAAGACAAGCAATCAACTCAGAACTAACATAACAAAGAAAAATCATACAGCTAGAGCGATGTAATAAAGATAACCACTCTCAAACATACAAAAACAAAATCATAGAGAGAAGCCAAAACTTAAAAA